GCTCTGAGATACATTTTTCCAATACTTTTGATATCATCGGGAGAATGCTTATTGGTCTGTAGTTGTTTATATTCATTTGTTCACCAGATTTAAAGATGGGTGTAATTACAGCAGTTTTCCAGGCGGTGGGGAATAGTCCTTCAGTGATTGACCAATTTATTAATTTACATAAGGATGGGATTAATGATTCCCTATTTGAATTTAAAAACAGGGTATCAATACCATAGATATCCTTTGCCCTTGACGACTTGATAGATGAGATTATTGACTGGTCCCGGGTTTGGTTGAACATCGCCAGCGAGCAGAAGTGTCAGTATCAGGTAACCAAGAAGTTGTTTCTGCTGCCTATATATTTGTTTGTGGAGCCCATTGTTTTTCACTGTGCTATGGAATACTGCTTTGCCATTGCTAAGGACATTGTGGTATGATGTATAGTGTCCAAATGAAATATACAAGTAGGCATAATCGGTGGGAATCCCAGAATGTGCGTAGAGGGAATTTGCATCAGCTGCTGGTGGCGTGGATGACTTAGCGAGACATGCTCTGACGGAGCTCAGTACAACACAGATGATATATGTTGCAGTCCACGCAGTGATCTTAAATCTGTTATCTATTAGCCTCCTTTTCCCACTCAGCACTTGATTTTGCAGACACGTATTGTTGATTTTTGAGCGTCTGACTGGCAGCGACGCAGCACCTGCCTTACTGCTCGCCGCCATGCTTCCGCCATGGTCAAGTTGACAGGAGGAGGATTTGGATTTTTCATTATTAAAGGTGGAGATTTGGTTGACAGATCTGTAAAGGATGGAGCAGGAGCATTGGGTGAAGATGGAGTGAGTGGATTTTGGATGTTCAAAATGAAGCCAGGGTATTGCATTTCATTTGAACTGATCAAACTGGAGTAGTATGTGGATATGGCTGTGGAGATTGAGTCTTTGTAATGGAGGCTGTGTGTTGTGCAAATTTCTTGGGGATTTCATTATCAGATGAAATGCCTTTGGGCCTAGACCCTAGTGGCGGCGGCATCTGTGTTTGGGCCAAAAAGTTCAATTTGTGTTTTATCCATATGGTAGCTGGATCCCCCATGTGACTTCTGGGAAACTTCAAACAGGATTTCTCAAGGCGTCCTTTCAGTAATGGCTTTTTTCTTGCCACTTGTTCATAATGCCAGATTTGTGTAGAGTACGACAGCCCATTTCCAAATATTGGATTGAACAGCACACAATAAATGAGATGTTTGAATCTTTCGGAAATCTTGGTATTAATCCACACTACTTTAAACTTCTCCACAACTTTAATGTTGCCTCATGATGTTGTTTAGTGACCAATACACTCTGGCCATAGCTGTGGGGCCCTCACAGATTATACTGAGAGTAGATTACACACAGGAGGCCTCCATTTAAACATTAGGGCAATGTGTGAAATGTTTTAAAGACAATTTAATGCACTCAGAAAAACGCTGTATTAAAAATAAACTTGTTTCTTACATAACAGAATCATGGATAATTTTACTTTTACTTCATAGTTGTCTGTTACTTGTGTATGGAAGCCCGTTTCCGCCATGTAAAAAAAAAAAAAAGCCTACAGAAAGTCAAAATTTTGACTTTAAAACTCAAAATTTTGACTTTAAAACTCAAAATTTTGACTTTAAAACTCAAAATTTCGACTCAAAAACTCAAAATTTCGACTTTAAAAGTCAAAATTTCGACTTTAAAAGTCATAATTACGACTTTAAAAGTCAAAATTACGACTTTTAAAAGTCAAAATTACGAGTTTTCAACTGCGCATGTGCAGTTGAAAACTCGTATGTGTTGTTGTCTGGAACGGTCTCTGGTCATCCCTGTTATAAGATCCATGGTCATCCTCTACCTGCAGTTATGTGAAGATTTTTTCCTACAGACAGTGACCACATCCATGAAGTACCAATAATGTTGTGGTAGTAATCGCGTTAAAATGCAAACGGTCTTTCCGATTATGATTAGAATCCGCTTCAGATTCTATTTAGTTTTATCCTAAACGGACTGTGGAAGATTAATAATAAAAACACATGTGGCTGTTCAAAGTCATTTGAGCATCAACTGGTGACATCGGGTCAGTATCACGGCTATCGATGGATGCACCAGAAATGCAGTGAATAATATTGTTCGCGAGAGAGACCGTTCGCGATGACAGGACAGTGAGGGGAGGTCCGCAGACAGAGGCAGGTGAACCACAGACAGAGGCAGGTGAACCACAGACAGAGGCAGGAGAACCACAGACAGAGGCAGGTGAACCACAGACAGAGGCAGGAGAACCACAGACAGAGGCAGGAGAACCACAGACAGAGGCAGGTGAACCACAGACAGAGGCAGGTGAACCACAGACAGAGGCAGGAGAACCACAGACAGAGGCAGGTGAACCACAGACAGAGGCAGGAGAACCACAGACAGAGGCAGGTGAACCACAGACAGAGGCAGTGAGAACCACAGACAGAGGCAGGAGAACAGAGAGGAAACCACAGTCACGGGCACTGACAATATTACCTTTTGGAATTGCGATCGTGCATTGAAGAGTATGTGACGTGTTTGCGTGCACGCGGGGGTGAGCTGATGGCGTTATGAGCAAGAACACAGAGACCAACAGGGGAATAAGTGCCTTGTCTGATTGCCCACGACTCTTTAAGCAACAATCCGGAGAAATAACCTCCGCAGATAACAGTGAGGGTCTTTGAAAAGGGGAGTTAAAACCCATTATAGATGCATGAATAAAACCCCGTCCTCAACACGTAGAAAGCGCATCCTTTCAGCCGTGGAAAGACTCTCGCTCCGTGTGGACCCCTCTCAGCGTTATCGTCTGGTCAGAGTGGTCTACAGCAGATTGGATTGGAATCATGCAGATTGGATTGGAATGTCTCGATGGCTCATTTTCCTTTGATTTATTATAAAAACGTATTTCTCACATTATTTGTTACTATGTCGAAATAAGAAGTCGTTTGATTTAAATGTTGTATATATGTAAATTGAATTTAACATAAATAAATAAAAAGACAGCTCCTCCCTGCGTCCTACGACCGCGGTCTGGGGCTTAAACAGGAAAGTTTTACAGAATCAATCAAACAACATTATTTCTGGCTACTTCATGGATGCAGTGGTCACTGTAGGCAATATCTTCACATAATCTGCAGGTGAAGGATGTCCAGAAACCGTTCCAGACAACAACACATACGAGTTTTCAACTGCACATGCGCAGTTGAAAACTCGTAATTTTGACTTTTAAAGTCGTAATTTAGTCAAAATTTTGACTTTGACTTTTTTACTTTTCTGTTTGCTTTTTTTTTTTTTTTACATGGCGGAAACGGGCTTCCATACTTGTGTGTGAACTTTCGGTAATAAAAAAAATCAAAATAATGTTTTGATGTTCATGGTTGTAAACGTGAGAAAACGTGCACACGTTTTTTTTTGTGTGATAATTTTTTAAATTCAAGTATGACAATGTATTTGACAATGTATTCACATTTTGCACTGATTAGCATGCATCACACTTGACTTTTTATCCCCCTTTTGGTCCCCATATCCCCTTTCCCTTGTGATGGGCAGAGAAGCTCAAAATAATAAATTGATAACTAAATAAATAAATAATGATTAAAATAACAGAATAGTAAATAAAAATAACAATAAAAAAATAAAAATAAAATAATAATAAAAATAAAATAAAATAAAAGGTTCAAGACATCTAAAACAAAATTTGTAATTACAGAATAAAATAAAAATACATATATACAAAGACTAGCAGCAATGAACTAATATTCACATATGCGAAGCAAAACATACAGTTGGGTAGATACAAAGTGCTGATTTCCTCCGTCAGAGACATCCACAGAAATAGCAGTATACATAACGACAAAATGTAAGATAAAGCAATGACTACGCACAGTACATATAGTTATGTAACATATTCACAGACACCATAATGACAATCTCAAATGCAACATGATTTATAAACGATTTAGAAAACGTGCAAAAGTTGAAGCTGGATTAATACTTTTGAGAGGCACTGTATATGCATAATGCATGCATAAATTCATGTTAATGCTTCAGGAGATCCAGGAGGAATTCATGAATTTTACCTTAATTAATTATGATCTTCATGAGTTTCACAGAGAACATGAACTCATCAAGTCATGATGAAAACTAGAAACAACACGGCCTCCTCATGAATGACTGCATGAATTCATATGTAATGATTAGAAACGTTACCATACATTCCCCTGAGGGTTTGGGCACTGGGTTAAAATACAACAATATTGTCTCTATGTCACATATACGGGCCGTTTCTTTGTGGTATTAGTTCAATGTACATTAGTTCTCCACGCATGTGCTGAACTTATTACGTCCTATATGGAGACCTTTGACACCTGAGGGTCTGCGATTCAGCCCTGTCGAGAACAAAGGGCCCAAATTGACACAAAGTAGATCCTGTTGGCCTAATTGACACTATAGTGATCCACAGATTTGCTGAGTCCACAAGGTCCCGTGCGCAGTGTGGCTCATGAATATTTATTTCACAAAGCCACGTGCCTTGAGTTTTGGCTTTGAAATACAGCTCTATTACAGGGTGGATAGTCCCAAAGAATCTTATCCGAGTGCGCAACAGGCCATGGCACAGGGCGCATGACCAGGTGCTTGAAATCATATAAGTAAAATCATACAGACAGGAGAAATAATGGTGCATGTTTTCCCCCTCATTCTACACTTCGCTTGCTTTTATTTGCTGTTGACAAATAGGCTCCCGCTCCGTCACACCGCTGCGTAGCCTCCTGGAACCAAAATGTAAACACAACATATGATGCGTTTGATTCGATTTATCCTCGCGAGGCTGCCGTTGCATCATCTGGCCATGTGGGGGCAGACTTACACTTCATTCCTCCCCTGTGAGCATTTGCCTTGTCATATCAGATACTGGAGAGAGGATTTTCACCATGGAAGACACATCCCAGCTGCTTGACTCTTGGATCTAAAGGAATGTATGATGGGTGAGGGGTTTGCTTTTATTTCAAATTCTTTGTAAATGGGCTCAGATTATTTAGGCTACAATTTACATTTAATAAGCAAAAGAAAGAAAAGGCCAGCCGTAAAATAATCTACCCAACATTTTGCTTAATTGGGTTGTTGTGCAATGGGAGTGAAAAGTGGCAAAACAAAGATTCTGTCTCCATGGTGATTATTGTGTGTTCCATGGTTTGGTATTAAACGTCTACAGTATAGTGTTGTGACAAAAGCCATCTAAAGATGCTTTTACTCTTTACAAAAGATACATTTCCTCTACAATCTATGTGGTTCTGATACCGTCCTCAGCTTGTGAGTGATGTATACCCTACAAGAAAAGCATCTTTGAATTAAAACACTAAATTATGACACTAACGTTCTTAGAGAGAGGGCAAGATACTGGTGAAAAATGCATTTCATTCAGTTATTAAACTTGCAATGTGACACTCATATAGGCGCATTATAGAAAGTGAGACATATCAAATCTTTATTTATTTTAATGTTGATAATTGAATCACAGCTTGTAAAAAAAAAAAAAAAAAAACATCTCAGAAAAAAGGAATATTTTGAATTTGGACTGTGAGCTATCAATCACCCAAAATGAAAACATATGGTTTCACATTTTAAGTGGAATTAGTGGAGTTAGGGCGACGCAGTGGCTGAGTGGAAAGCACTCTCGCTTCTCAGCAAGAAGGTCCTGGGTTTGAATCCCGGTCGGAACAGGGCCTTTCTCATTGAAGTTTGCATGTTCTTCCTGTATCAGTGTGGGTTTCCTCCGGGTGCTTCGGTTTTCCCTATACCACTAAAAACATGTACAATAAGTATGAATGTATTGAGTGAGTGTTGGTCTGTCATCACTGTGTGTGGGGAGAATGAAAAATATCTGAACTCTGAACATTGTAAAGTGCTTTGGGTGACCTTGATCTGTAAAAATGCGCTGTATAAATAAAGATGACTTACTTATTTACTTACAGAAATAAATGACCTTTTGAACACTCAAATCAGCAGGTGAAGGAGCCTCCACCAGAACCCTTACATGTCAATCTCTCCTGTGGGTCCATCATTTGCTTGTATCTTGTTTTGAGATTCTATTCGTCAAAGTGCAACAGTGAATTTCCCCACGGTGATGAATATGGTTCTCTTATTTAATTTAAATGCTGCTGTTGTGCCTGAATGCTCCCGTCTGCTCAACAGATCTTAAACAAGGTAATGTCCTTCCTGACATTGGCAGAACTATGGTCTCATCAAAATGATATAATCACTAGAAACAAATCTGAGCGTGTAATCGGTAAGGGACGCTAGGCTGTGAAAAGTGTCCCATTCTATCATCCTTCATCGGAGACAAGTGTGTGACATCACCAGGGCTGTTCGTCATTGGTTGTTTAGTCAATAAACTATTACCTTTGAATTACATGACCTATTTTTATATTTACATTGTAAGGAAATATTTAGGAAAATGGGAAAAATATATGAATATTGGAGATTTACTTTAGGTTTTTAAGGCTTTGTTACATTAGCAACATAGTTTTTGTCACCAATCGACCGTCCAGGAATGTCTTTAAACAATCAAGCATTTGTTTTCAATCAACACAATATATTTGTTTTTTCATTAATGGACCACCACGCTTACAAAATAAATACTTAAAGTATTTTCACTTAAAGAGCAATAAAATCAGTATAGGGTACAGGGGGGTTTGATAATACTGTATTATACAGTACTTATTTGTCAACCAAAAATATAAAATAGTGAAAAATGAAGTATATAGTAATTATTTAGATCAAAGTTTAGTCTGATTCACTTATTACAGTGTATAACTTGTGATGCAACACTGAAATTTACCCACTGTGGGACGAATAAAGGGTCTCTTTATCTTAATCTTCATTGGTTGAATACAGCCATAATCACCAGACTAAGTTACCGATCATATCTGTGGAGAGGGGAGTACACTCACTGCAAGAACTCAGTTTTAAGTAAGTAATTTATTTATATAGGGCCTTTCTCAGACCAGAGTCACAAAGCGCTTTCAATTGTTATTTTTATTTTTGGGCATTTGCCTCTCCCTCCACACAGAGAAGGGAGTGAGGTCGGCAGCACAGGAGGTTCATGCCAGACCTATTGTACATGTTTTTAGTGGTAGGGGAAACCGGAGCAAGCGGAGGAAACCCACGTAGACACGAGGAGAACAAGCAAACTCCACTCAGTTTTTGAGGAGGAAAAACCCCAAACCGCGGAACAAAAGCAAAACAATAAGAATGGGATCAGAAAACATGTATAGTTAAGTATTATTTAGTTTGATTATCTGTACTTATCTACCACCGGCACGAGCACTTTTGAAAAAGGTCCAAGAATACATGTGCATAATCCTCCACATAGACAGCCGAGTGTATCCTCCACTGTCGTTAACACAGAGGGGCGTGAGCACACAGAATTAAAAGTGTGTGAAAGAGAAGGAGGGCAACAGGTGCTAATGAGAGGGAGTCCCGCACTGAGAGGCGGAGAGCAGACCCCAGACCAGACCCCAGACCAGACCCCAGACCAGAGGGACAGCTCCGTTACATCACCAGCCCCTCGTGTGCCACTGTGTCATTCATTGTTTTCTGTCCTCTGACGCAGAGCTGGGCGATCTGGAAAGATTTATTTGGATTATACATGATGGAGGCATTGTTCCGCACAGGCAGCAGCAAAACGCAATAACATTAAATTATGTAGAAATAGTTTGAGTATTTTTTTAAAACCGTAAACACAGGAAGGTTTTTATATTGGCATTAAGTGTTTTAAAATGTGAAGTGGTTTCATAAATAAAAGATGATTAATATAAACCCTGGCCCCTAATCCCTAACCCTAACCCTATATTTATATCTGCATGTAATTCCCCACCGCTACCACCAGAGGGCGAATTCAATTTAGTTGTTTTAAAATGTATTAAATTGGTTGTAAACAGTAATTTCACTGGATAAATTAAAAGGCAGAAAATCTCTCTCGTGATTCATCATAAGGTTTGAGATGAGCGTTCAAACAGAAGGGGAGGGGGGATATGTTTGTGCCTGAAGACCTTGATATCAGCATGGATGGAGCTAAAAACAACCCCAGGTCTTTAATATTGTAACTGGCAAAAGATGATTTTTCTAAATATATCACTTTTAAGCCCAACATTGTGAACGGCAAACTAAGATGGAGGTCTGTTTCCGGTTCAGTTATTTCTCCAAAACATCGAGATTGGAAGAAAGAACAACAAGTGCTCTACTTCCCATTCTACTACTCCGTCAAGTTAATCAAAAAACTGAGATTTGTTTTCAATTTTTGGACAGAGTTTCTGGTCCAAAAAGTGAACAAGAAAACAACAGGGGAACTATTTTGACCAATATATATGTAACCACTCTGGACTTACTCACTGCTCAATTAAATGAATCTCCAGCTTAATTTTGGGCTCCACTGGTCCTTCCATTCTGTTCCATGGAAACTAGAATTGGTCATCTCGCTCAGTGTGCTTTGAAGCCTTGACGTCACTCTTTGTGTGCGTGAATGGCTTTTTACATCCAGTTAAAAGGTTGCATTTGTCTTTGTCCTCTCATTGAGCGTATTTTGTGGACTCCCAATGTGATATTTTACAAAGAGCCTGGATAGCTGAGATTCTCGGGAGTGAAAAATATGTATTTAAATGTTTAATGAGAAGACAAGATTTGCCTCAAGTTTATTACTTCCAGGCTTTCTTGTGTTGTGAAAGTTGCACATATTGAAACGGCAGAGAGGCTCGGTTTGGCCAAACATTAAGCCTCTTTATTTGGGCTGTATCCCCGTTGTGGTTTTATTAGTTCATCCGTCAATTTAGCCTTTTAGTCCAAATATAAGATTTATTTGTTTGGATCATAATACATTTAGCCATTTGATGAACACTGTCGTAAGAGAATGCATATCTTAGTATAATGGATTTTTCTTGTGAGTTCAATTTGGGTCAGATCCAAGCACAATCAGAGATGCTTGAACATGTATTGATTTCTGCAGTGTCCGCTTGCAGTAGAGTTATTATGTTTTAGCTCTTGAGAAAGACGTATGAAGTCTCCAAAACTTGCTTTGATATTTGTTTTTAGCAGACATGAGCCATCGGCCAAATGGTTCTGCCTATCAGGTCTATAAACCACCGCTTTAAAGTTATAGTTTGAGTGCTGTCAAAACACAAAAACAAACATACACACTTGAAGCCATACATTGTAAGATCAACCTCGAAAGTTCATGGTTCAGTCTAATAACAGCTTGCGTTTGTACTGCTTTTCCGGGGGCCAGAAGAGTCATTCATAACTGGAAGAGCTCAATCAAGTACGTCAGCGGCTCTTCTTTTTGCGGAAACTTAGAGAATTTACCACTAACTCTAAGATTGTGCTTAACTTTTATCGCTGCACCATTGAGAGTTTACTTGTTGGTTCTGTGTCTGTGTGGTTTGGAAACATCACAGATAAAGAAAAGAGGGCTTTAAACAAGGTGCTCCGCTCTGCAAAGGGGACCGTGGGCTGTGAGCTTCCTGTTCTGGAGGTTCTTTATAAATCCAGACTTTTAAACAAAGCTCTTAAAATCATCAATGACTCTTCTGGCCACCCTGGGAAAGCCATGTTCCAGCTTCTTCCCTCTGGCAGAAGATATCAGTCGCTGAGATGCAAGACATCTCGCTATGCTAACAGCTTCTTTCCACAGGCTGTTAGGTGCCTAAACAGAGCACTTTAATTCCTGCTTTTACCCCTTGTATCGTTTTGTTGATCGGTGCCACAGTGTCAGCTGTTTTTTTTTTTATTATTTTATATTCAGTGTATGTGTATTTTATATTACATTGTATCGTGCTTTTTATTCTGTCGGTGCACACAGAGTACCTTTTTTTGCAAATGTATTCCAATGTAGTTTTTATACTGCACATGGCCAATAAATGAATCTGAATCTGACTCTGAATTTAAAAGTCTAGGTTCATAAAGAGCCCCCAGAACAGGCCGCTTTCAGTCCCCCTGTCTTTGGCTGCTCTCAAACCACACAGGAAGACCTCTTTCTATGGTGCAGTGATAATAGTCAGCAGAAAGAGACACTGGCGAGATTTATAAACAATATGATTTGATCAGTGAAAAGACAGTGGCAAGATTTCTTAAGAATCTTGCCACTGTTAAAAATTGACTTGTGTGTCTCCTTTGATCAAGTTTAAGATGGCGCGTAATCTCACTGCGGAGTGTCTAACCCCAGTATTTGTCTCATTAGAGATGGGGGTGATGTTCCAGAGCAGGGAATGAACAACACCATCAAAAAATGTGAATACAAACTGTTACAATTATAATTTAAGAGCAAAGCATAACCATTATAATTGTGTGTCACCAGATTGCAAGCCGTGGTCTCATATTATGGTCCACCCTTCTCTTTCACCTCCACTGAGCTCACCCGAGCCCACCCCCATGCGGTCCTCTTCCTCCCGGCTGACCTGCTGAAGCAGCACACACCGGCCTGTCTGTCAAACAAACCAACAGGTGCAGTGGGACAGCCTCATACCCCCACAGGCTCCTCTCAATGTGCAGCCTCACACGCTCTGCTTTAATACTGTGCTGGAAGCGTGCACCAAAGCTCCGGATTCTCACTGTAAACTGTGCGGCATAGAGACTTGTGAGCCTTTTACAGGACATATCATGTATAATATATCATTGCTTTAGAAAATACAACAGTCATTAAACTATAATAATGAAGTTGTGGCAAAAGCGCACCACAGGAAATGAAATGTTTACTGTTCCGGAGTATTCCAGAGTGGCTGGAGCGGGGAGGGTAAAAAATAAAACAAAACAATATTTACACTTAGATCATAACAAGGACAAAAGCAGTGACTGTTTCTGGACCAGACATTAGACAGGACCAAGCTCAGTCGACATCAGGACTAAACATCTCCTTTTATTATAATAAACATGGACAGACTTTGTTAGTTAGGCTGAACAAGTCATTCGAGAAAAATACAAATACAACTGGTGACTTGGCTACAAATAATTGAATCCAGTTTGAATGACAGACTTTAGGAATCCCTTGTGTGCACAAGGCAATGCCTGCGTCATTTTATCACATCAATATCAGAACTGCATTTGTAAGAACTACTATGAAACAGAAGTGTGTGTCTGTGCTTCTAGAAGGATCTAGAAGGTGCTAGAACAGCTACAAAGATCACTGAATACAAAAAAAATGAAAATGTTTAAGTGTGCAGTAAGTTTGTTGTTATTGAAGGACTGAAAAACTCTAGATTGGTGACGGATGATGTTTGGGGTGAAAATGTTAAAATGTCTTTGGAACCAGCAAATCTAGGGACAGTATACGTTTACGTTTACAGTATACTGGTTTATTTATTATTATTTGTGTTCCTGTTTGTTCATGTTGCACAAATGAAAAAACAATATGTATGATGACATGGACAAAACAAAAATAATAATATTATTAACGCAACAGTAACAAATAAGAATACATCTTTACTTCTTTTGTACAAGTGATTAACATTTGATCTGGGAAATCAATTTAAGTGTAAATTGTGCTTATTTGGTCAACTTGAGTCTCTCTTATTTACAGCTAATTAAATAAATAAATACGCATTTTTTAAAAAATATTTCCCCCAAAATATTGCACCTGCACGTTGCTGTTACTTAACGATAAAGGTTAATGAGCAGGACTGGCCCAGTGACCTGTGGCTCTGGAAATGTCAGGGCCTCACACATTCATGCAGAGGTCCACTCTCAGCGACAAGTGCATCCTCATGGACAGAAGAAAGAGGCTGTGGTGCATAATTCAATCCCCAAAACACTTCCCAGATTTTCAAAGTCATTTATTAAATGCCTCCTTGGTCACCATCCAAACTGCATCTTGCACAAATAGAAGGATTTTTGTTGACTTGTGACATACCTTACTGTGCTAGGTTTGCTATAGGCTTCTTCTCTATGCACGATTTCTGACATGTAACAACTGTTATACATAGTTCCCACAGACCAATGAATGTCACATGACCTCCTCGGAGACGCCATCTTTGATGGCACGCTGCTGTGTTTGTGCATTCCATTAAACAGAAGAATGAGAATAAATGTAGATATTCAAACGCAAATTGGAAAAAAAGGGCAACTTTTGAGCAAATAATTGTATATTAATACAATGGCACCACAGTTTAACGTGCTACGGACATGTTTTACATATTTGATCAAATTATGCAGCAAAAATTAACAAGCAATGCAAACATTTCTCAAAAACTTTAGATTTAATACCAGTTGGAGCTCCATTTAATTATTTTAATTATATTAACAATTAATTTAATTAATGCTAATGCCACACGGACACTCTGGATTGCTGTTATTGTTTATTTCCGCGTTTTTGACCGTATGTTTTGGTGAATGGTGGGCAACTGATTTTTCCAGGCGTAAAGAGCAGTTTATTTTATGACACAGATCTTTTTACAGAAGCAATGCTGTTTGTGAACATTGTTTTAGCCCACCATAGAACTATTATTATCTATTTAATACATTTACGTTGCCCTCGAGAGCCTCGGACGCGACACCGATCCTCCTCATAATAAAGTAATCTAAATAATGAAACTCTCAAGTTACCAGCTATCAGCATACACAAGTTAGTACTGAGTAAATTACGTCTGTCAACACATTATAAGATACGATACGCACCTGACACAAAGTGCTCCGAGCATATTCTTGCGTGTTTTGAGGGAGTTTCTTGCCTGTTTATCTTCGCAAGCCATAACCTCCGTGGTTGTTCTTCTGACAAAAGCTTAGTCTTCTCACATTCATGAAGTCTAATGATGGGTATACTGTAAAATCCAAGTTTAACGGAACCTCCGGCACGATTTGAACATCCATTGACCCAGCAGGAGATGACCATTTTCAACTTTATCACGACATTAACACGTTTCAGCTTCTTTTTCTATTGTTTTGCCCACAGCATGCCAACACAAATGGCGCCGGGTCGGCAAATCCCCGTATGTAGTGACGTCATGTGGGAACTATGTATAGGAGATAGTGACACCTCTGAATAACAGCAAACTTCACTCAAAAAGGCCCTCTTCCAATTGGCTTTCGAACCCTGGACCTTCTAGCTGTGAAGCCAAAGTGCCAATCCCTCTGCCACTGTGACGGTTCTGGGTTCAATCCCCGGGCTGATCCAGGCTGATCCAGGTCTTGAAGGTTGCATGTTCTTCCAGTCTCCGGGTGAGTTTGAAAGACTTTCAAAGTGCGCTTTCCAAGTGCAAGACATTGTTATAACATTATTAAAGGATCTTAACTGCTGCATCTCCATTCATTCATTTTCATCCCTTTATTATCCATTTCTGGGTCAGGGGGGGTGGCAATCAGAGCTGCCACCCCATTCACAATGCACCAGTCTCTCGCTGATCCTCCTGCAAGTGGTGGGTCCACAGGAAGATGGCTGCTCCTTCATCACAGATACGGCCTTGATCTTTCAGCGGGGACTTCAGGCAAAGTGGGGTTAAGTGTCTTGTCCAGGGACACAACGACAGCAGACATCAGTGGGAGCAGATGACATGGGTTGTGGTGGGATCGAACCCACAACCAATGCTGTATCTCCAATGTATTATTATTCCTCAAAGCTTAATTTGATCTAATTTTATCATAAACTTTGAATCTGTGGATCTAGTACTGCATACAGCTGCCTCCGTTGTGAAGGATAAGGGCCTCTCTGAGTAGACAATGTCCCTGGCTCTTTCTGCGCATGATGGGCGAGCTATAAAAACAATTGTTGTGTCTGCTGTCATTAGTAATCCTGTCTACAATGCAATCTTTGATGGTTTTTGACAACAATTTGCAATGATGATAGGCAAACCATAAAAATATCATGTCGTCTCAGCCCCATCACGCACCACCGTTTAACCGTATATAAACCTGACTTCTTCAAACACTGAAAACTCCACAGATATACTTGAGTGGAGCGGACCAGAGATGACAGGGAATGGTGTGAGCATGTGGGAGGGTGAGGGGACTCGGTGGTCAGGGGGGAGGGGTAAAGTTTGACAGTTGCTCGCAGTTGGCACCTCGGATCCAGGATGCTTTGGGGGCGGACAGAGAGAAGGGCCAACGAGTCGTGGCAGAGGTACAGCCAGTATAGACCAGGGAACAGTGAGGGGGGAAAAGAAGCTCAAGTCCTCCTTTACTGTACTTCAGCTTACTCATGGATATGAACATGACCGGGACATATTTCCACTGACGGAATAAGAAGTTGGCTTGTCTCATCCTCTAACCTCTTTCAAACTCCCCCAGGACTCAATTGGCTGTAAGTAACCCTTTGCATCTGCTATTTTGCACGTTTTTTCTTTTAAATGTAAATGGTATTTTTGTGCGATGCAGACAATCAGATCAACGTGTTTTGTTGAATTTCTAACGTGAAATCGTAACAACAATCGATTGTAGAGAATCTAACAAATACAACACCAGGAAATAATCTAACGGTGGTCCATTCATATATGTTCATAAATGTCCATAATGTCACTTGTCACTATGGAAACGTTTAGTTCAAGGCATACTCAACAAAACATTCTCCATGGAGATAGATCAGACAGGAAGAACAAATGAGACAGAAAAGATACATGTAAATCAACTACTTTCAATGCATAATTCAAAGTTTAGGTATATTTGTCTCTTTTAGGCTAACAAGTTACCTCGGCAAAGCTTCAAGTATCGCTCTATAATTCTCATATAAGGAGCCATATCTTAACATATGTATTAGACTCGCTGTGACAGTACGAATGTCCGGTGGGAAGCCTCGAGTTATGGCAATTTACTGCTGTCTGTCACAATCAACGTCGACAACCGGAGACGTCAGAGGTGGATCGACTGGCTCCTGGTGCCATTTCTACTAAAGGTTTTGCTGTCTGTTTAAATTTGCTGGCTTGGGCCTCGACGGTTGGGCTGGAGTGTGTGGCTATGACAGGGCGTCTACTGGGAGGCCTGCTGTTGTTGCAGATTTCACTCATCTTGGTGGTCTTCAGATTGTCTGCGTGGCTCGGAGTCCCTCTTGTCTCTATCGGCGCAGCTTTATGTGCCACCGTCAAGATGGCTGTGTGTCCGTCACTGGATTAACAAGCATCTGTCCCTCTCCCTCTCCAAACTTCCAGAGGACTGACGGGAGGCAGCGTCTTCTCCTGGTTCCAGCCTTTCTCTCCACGCCTGCCCCCAGCTCCTCACCACCACCATGACCCTGGCGGCCTCCGAGAGGTCACTGCTCATCAGAAACAAGTTCCGCTCAGGTCAGCAGCCAGTGCCACCGCAAAAACATTTTACAAGTATTGATTTGTTCACTGTCATGCAGATAAACGGGTGTACAGAAGGATCCCACATACAATCAATTATTGCAATGTCCAAGAAGATCTTGTGCTTTTACTCTTTGTATCACAAATTATAGTTTTGCATTTTAAAAATCTCTGATCTGCCAATAGACCACTTTTTCCATCAAAGTAATTATTGCAATTTGCAGGTGCTGACATACTAGATAATAAGCAGTGGATGTTTGTTCATTTGTGCCAGATAATCTGCCCAGCGTTGCCAAATTCTACATGCTTCACACACTGTAAATTGCAATGGGCTAACAATCTTGATTTCGATCAGTGTGCAATAATCAGTATGAAATATGTATCTGAAGTGTATGTGTTTTAGGTTCACCCCATTCCAATTTCACCCAATGTCTAGATAATTAAAAGCCGAAAAGAACCACAAATGTGAACAGGTGACAGTGATGTAGCGCTTTTCTAAATACTCAAACATGCATTATCAGCCACAGCTGCCTTGCGGATAGAGTGACATAAGGGAGACTGCAAATCTGCTCCATTAGCCCATGTGACCACCACCAATCTCTCAACACTCTCAACATACAGGTGAAGTTTAGAAAAAATATAATACTGTTCTGATTATTTCTCTAATTCAACCTAAAATTTGGTGAAAAGACAATGGATGGATGGAACTTCAGATGATGTAGACTCATTACAGGTAAAGGCCAAGCCGTTGTTATCATCTAGATGTTACTATCAAATATATATACGTTTCACTCTACAAGATCTAAATATACTATTGAATAATAATCTAGTCCTCAGAGTTTCCACGCGTGAAACAAGCAGGGCCTTACTCAAGAAAACATTTGTCTGAACATATTTATCGGCCAAAAGAACGTCACATGCACAGGTTCATATCGAGGGTACAAGGAGAGTGGAGTGTCTTTAACAGGAATACTTCAGTCTGGTGCAATGACTAATCCTCCAACCACCTTTCTAAATAGGTTACTTTATTGTTAAGCTCTTCTCTATGTGTAACTTTTATGTTAGTTTGGATCAATGTAGAGTTCAGGGTTTGTGTCACCGCCTCCGACAAACGCAAGAGTCTCCAGAGCATCAATGCATTTGAAAACAGCGGCAAATTGTAGTGGGTCCATGCATTGTACATCGAAGGCTAAGTTAGAGGACCTGAACATTGCATTATGTACCACTGTGTGAGGTCGGACATTAACCGAGATGGGTTGAATTAAAGAAACAAGTTTACACATTATTTAGGCCATCAACAATCATGAGAACTTTAATTTTATGTTTTAGAATGTGAAATAACATCTATATGGTGAAACAAGTACGAAGGGTAAATAATGCTATAATCCTGGCCCATCCCTGTGCCACCACGAGAGGGATGGATAGAATTTGTTTTGTTTTTTTCCCCAAGAGTTACATATTTGTGCCAGAAGTTCCGGATATTTGCATGGATCGATCTAGAAACAACCCCTGGTCTGTTAGTGATGAGGGTCAAATCTCAAAAAGTGAATTTTGCAGATGATGTCTCCTTTCATGAACTGAAGTAAAAGGACCTATAATCGACACCGCAATAACAGTACAGGAACAAAATAAGATTAAGAATACATTTTTATATCCTGAAGATAATTGACAATGAAACGGCTTGAGTTTCACTGGAGTTCAGCAGTGGTTTACACGAGTTTCCCAAATAATGCTCAAACGGGGATAAAACTGTGAGGATACTGGGCATTTTTGGGACACAACAGTGCTCTTTGATTGGGCCGTCATTGTGTTTTTATAAAGTTTAAAAATCGCTCTGAGTGGCCACAGTCACAGCTCTACCTCAGAGAGAAAGCACAGCGACACTTTTGGGTCAGTCTCACAGATGAATGTATCAATCTACATACTAAAAAACGTCGCTAAAACTCACCTAAAAGCCATACTGTAGGATAGCATAGGCAGGAAGTGGACGGGCTGTTCCTTGTTAACAGGAAATGATGTCACGCCTCCCCGTGCATATAGCCCATTACATCTATGTTTAAGTATTATTTACTTAAACGTAGCTGCAATTAATCTTCATCTACAGTACTGTATATAGCGCATTTCACCGATGCAGAAGCCAAAAGCGAGACGCCGAACACTCTCCCAACCATCACCATTCAATCACTCTCTCTCATTACATTCAGAACTATTGAACATGTTTTTAGTGGTAAGGGAAACCGGAGCCCCCTGAGGAAACCGGAGCCACAGTGCCACAGAAATCTTGCTTCTTTCTCTTGGACCCGATGTTGTGTTTTGTCTCATCACAAAGTCGTGTTTTCTTGTTTCACCTCTATAGAGTGCAGTGGATAGAGTCCAATCACAATCAGGCTAACAAAAATGTATAAAACTGGCTGACTTTTTAGTATAGCTTATTTTAGTTTAGCACAGAGCTGCACCAGATGGTCCATATATTTTTGAATCAGTGCCTCAAAATAATGTTTTGTCGGCTGGACACAACTGATGGATGGTCCAGCTGTTGTAGATAATGACGGACTATCTTTGAATGTTGATACTATTTACTGTTTGTGAGGGAATCAATGTAATCTTCAGTACACTTAAGGTACACTGTGTAGTTTTTACTCATCTAGCGTTGAGATCATATATTGCAGTCCAAGGTACTACGGAAGCCTTCGATGGATAAAATGTCGTCTTTGACTGTGGTCCCGAACTTTCAGTCATTCACTGGGGAAAGAATCCTTTAGTTTGATAAATGACCGGATCTCTCCATACGTCTTTGTCACTTGACACGGTAGTGCGGAGGCAACATGTAAACAGTCCACCTTCTGAAGCGGTACCCGCTGCAGAGGCTCTAATGAGTTTTACCCAGTGCACATGCTCATGGACCTCATGCTTGCAATTTTACTCCTAGCCTGTGGGGGTGGACCCAGAAAGAGAATTACCCAATGCATTTGTATGGCGTCTTCTTTCCTCTCGAAAACAGCTTTACAGGATGGTCAAAAAATGGCTCTTGGCCCAGATGCTGAGGAGAGTATATTTTTTGGACCAGTCTAGTTTAGCCTCTATAGACTTTACAATGCACTTCTTCAAATGAATGAGGCTCATGCCGGCAAACGCATGCACAAATGCGTTTTTTCAACATTTTCTTACCCTTGCGGCCATTTTGAAACTGCCCACAGAAGGCGAAAGTGGTGGCACATTAGTTTCAACAGTGGAGATTAACGTGGGTTAATATTTACATTCTATGCTTTCACCATAGTTCTATTATATTATATAGTTTTACAAATGCGGTGTGCAGGACATATACTCAGCCGCGGCAGAACTGTGGCTAAAAGATCATATTAGCTTTAGGGTTAGCCACAGCGCCGCATCCGCCTCACCAGGTAAAAAAACAGAACGTTCAAACGCTCGCCGTTGATAAACATATTCTGGCGATTGTTTGCGGGGGTTCTGTGTGTTTTGCATAATTGAGGCTTGTCCCTGAATAAGTTTTGTTGGACTGCGCTCGGATCGGGTCAGAACATCCCGAGACCGTGTTGCAGATTCTGCCTTGTTCTCATTACTGTTGGTGTGAAGAAAGTTACCGTTAGTGTGTAGAAAGTTACTGTTGGTGTGAAGACATTTTCGGATTATGCACGTTGTATGTCTGTTGTGTACAAACTACACAACGTGCCTGCTGTTGTTATAGCGCTGCGTTTCAGTGCTTGTGGTTTGCGATGTTGACACGTTTGCTGTTATGACTCCGGTTTCTAGATTTCTGCATGATTCTTTTTCTAAAAGATTCTCGTTGGGGTCGTTCTTTTATAAAACTGTGGTCCTTCATGGTTCCTACTTCAAACCAGTCAGGGCAAGGTGCAAGCAATGATATCAGTAGCACCCGTGAAACGAAAACCTAATTTTGTCCCTTATTAACCAATGTACTTCATCATGGTGCAATGACCTGGATCGCACTGCACTTTCATGTAGATTTATAAGTCTATGACAACAATTTCAAAACGTGGTGGAGGTAAATATTCTTAAAAAGGTCACATTTGTCATTGGATAACATGTTTTCTTATTTGGATCAACTGTAAAAATGTACACCATTTTTGCGATTAGCAGACTCTTGACTCACAACCCCAGTGAAATGCCAACAAAAAGAGCAGATCATTTAAAATAATGCAAAGCTAATGAATGTGTATACCTGCAGATATTGTGATTGCATAGAACATTTGAATACAGTGTGGCGTCTCATTATCTCTCAGAAGACTCCACATTTCCCCTAATTTAGGTTTAAACACTCAAACAATCTCTCCCTTTGCGGCAAAGGGACAAGTTGTGTGTGGTGCGGCGGCGTTCCCAGGCAGCTGTTGCATGCGGCTGGTGATATAGAAAGATGAGGAAATGGCATGGAGCTGGTCCCTAGGTGAACGTGAGCACCTGCTGAAATCCTGATTGTTGGGGCCAGGTGGTGCGTTTGAACATAGCCGCGCAGATCGGCTGTTTCACTGTTCAGTCTGAGGCCGCCTTTAAAGACTTTGGAGCCTCAGTGAAGTAATGGGTTCCCACACACGCTGCAACGGCAACAATGTTATGTAAAGTTGAAAAATATCAGCAGTGACAGTCGATTGCTGGCTTTCATGTGACATCACAGCATTCCCTATAGTAGAGCCTGTAGTGTCACTCTTCAAAAAAAAAAGGAGAAGGAAAGAAGGAAAATTAATTACTGACAAAAAATAATATAGTTTTAGTAAGCAAAAACTTAACTGAATGTAAAACACAAGAACAGAGGCAGAAGACAAGAACCACAGAACAAACACAATGGACTGACAACAAGAGAGAAAGAGCACAGGGACTTTGGTGGAGGGCAGCTGAAAAATCTTTACTGGTAACTATGGTAACTGTCAATAATCTGACTAATAATCTTAGTTTGTAAATCATTTCTTTATAACTTCAGGGCAAATCTACATACAAACAAATCTGACACGAAGTTCCACATGTTTTGTGGCAGAACATATCAACCAACTTATTTTCTCATGGTGGAAGTGATAATATTTCAAACATATTCATGATGTTAGCCAGTAGAAAGGTCATTTAGACATGGTAATACTATGGCAACATTTCTTTCCAAAGTTCCTTCTTCCACATACAGTTGTATTGGTGTCTGCCCTCCAGCTGAATTATAATTCTGCAACATGAACTATACATATGTGCTGCAAATTAATATTTAGTAGTCAGTAAGTGAGAGATGTTTTTTCTGCTGGGTTGGCTATGGGCATGAAGAACAGAAAATAATGAAAAACCTCTATCGAAAACACAGCTTTTCAAAGATAATAAAAGATGACTGCAAACAAGCTTAAATTTGATATTTTTTGGATCATCTTTCTTCACGTTGCATCATGTTATCACACAAAGTAATCACCGGGGAAGAGCCAGTTGTTCACAAACTACCACGGTGTTACAACACATTCAAATCAAAATACTTCACAAAAGGACTATTTGTTTCAGTGAAAACATGGCTTCAAATCTAATATCAAACACTAGGACACCTACGGCGATAAATGGGGATTTTGTTTAATTTTCTCTCCACACTGACCAAATTTAGCCGTGTTAAAGAAACAGTATGAGTGACTGATGACGATTTTACAGGAGCTCAGACTGTTTTCATTCTAATCATACTAACTAAACATATATTTTTATTTACCCAATTGTATTATTTACTATCCAAATCCATTACCAAATGTGTTCCAACGAGACTGTATAATAACCAGGATAATCAGGAGTAGTTTAATTATAAATCAAATTCTTTTTTTTTCCCACACCGTTATTACAAAGCTATTTTCGCACAAATGACTATTGCCCTCGACAAACAGCGCACACAGAGAATCCGGATCTTCTCCGGTTCTGTCCTGAGCACACGCACACGCACACGCACACGCACACGCACACGCACACACACACACACACACACACACACACATACTGCACATGTGTTTGAACGCACAACTGTCCCCTCCAGAGCAGAGGCAGCTCTATATTACTATATTACTGTCAACTCAAAGTCAGATCAGATCAGCATAATCTATTTGCCATTTGCAGTAAAACCACATTGAAATACATTTGCAAAAGTCCCCAGTGTGCACGAGACACAAGTACATACATAAAACAAGGTCAAAAGTACAGGAATAAAACAAACAAAACAGTAAACAATTGACGCTGTGAAATCGATCGCCTAAAACAGTTTCAATACCAGTGCAAGATCATTTAAAGTGCTCTGTTCAAACTGGTAACATCCTGTGGGAAGAAGCTTTTAGCAAATCGAGATGTCCTGCATCTCAGCGAACAATATATTCTGCAAGAGGGAAGAAGCTGGAAACTGGCTTTTCCAGGGGCCAGAAGAGTTTATTCAACATATTTAATAGAATGGGCTAGAATTGTTTAAACATTCAACAGTGCAGCAATAAAAGTTAAGCAGAATCTTAGAGTTAGTGGTAAATTCTCTAAGTTTCCCAGGTGCCTCCTCAAGGCAAGGCAAGTTTATTTGTATAGCACAATTCATACACAAGGCATTTCAAAGTGCTGAGCAAAACAAGATAATAATCACAGTACATTAAAAAGAAAGTGAAAAATATAAAATCCCTCAGTTGTATGCACAGCTAAACAGAACTGTTTTTAACCTGGTTTTAAACATTGTCAGAGAGGAGGCCGGTCTCACACTTTCAGGAAGATTGTTCCAGATTTTAGCAGCATGAATCTGAAATGCAGCCTCCCCATGTCTACAATCTGCACCTGGGAGTTATCAATAACAGGTAACAATAACAATAGGGGGGTGGCAGTCAGAGCTGCACCCGGTACACAGAGCACCAGCCCCTCACTGATCCTCCTGCAGGTGGTGAGTCCACAGGAGCTGAGATATTTCAGTTGGAGCTTTGGCCAAAGTAGGGTTAAGTGTCTTGCCCAAGGACACAGCGACTGACTGTCGAAAATGAGACAAGCTGCGGATCGGTCTGGGATCGTGCCACAGACAGATGACATGTTTTTGTCGATGGTAAAGAGACAAGAACAACGATTCCACAGCATGCATGTGATATCAAAACCTGGAGGAATCAAAAACGGTCCAATCAGCACCTGCCACGGCACTAGTAGCTTTGGCCTTCAGATAAACCAAAACCTGAAATGGAAAATCATTGAGTCCTGCATACTATCATAATGATGAGTTCAGCCTTAGCCATATTTGCTTCAAAGTGTTATAAAACATCTATAGGGCTTATGACTTTAAACCGACTCTTCTTTTATACCTCCAAATATACAGCACTGAATAAGTTGAACTCTGATACAGAACTGGACAAACACAGGACAACCACCTCTGTCCTCCACATTTTAATACATAATGTACCAGCCATATTTGTTTCATACTTGATGTTTTGAAATGACATGCATTGTTGCCATAAAACCCCCTTTAATTCTGTACTATTTCCGATGAAACCCTCACCCTAACTGTAACACCTTCTTCCATCTTCAGTCCCAATTTTCCGATCATTTTTGAGACCAATCACACATTTTATATCATTATTTTCAAGACTAATGAATAAATTAGACATAAAATAGCTGCTCGTCTATGTCTGAGCAGGAAGAGCAGAGTTAGCAGCGGCACAAATGACTATGACGTTAGCAGTTGGGGATGTATGGAGAGAGTGGGACAGCTGACGGGGGGATGGGCCTACTGAAATAGACCCAGTGAGGGATAAATAGTTGGTGGCCTGGACGCCCTCCTCCCCTGCTCAGGTCTCCTGCGGTCCTGTCCAGCGTCACCTGTTTGTGCTCTGAATGTTGATATTCTATGTGCGCCATGTGAGCTGCAGCAGTAAAGTCCAGGCCGCGTGTGTAGGTTTCGCCACAGTCTCAGTTATCAGCGATCCCGGCTTCTTTGATTTGCTCACGGGGCCTCACAGCTGCGGCACAGTCAGTGGGTCTGTACCAGTCACAGCCATCACAACAAAAGCATTTAAAGACACGCCGCACGCATATTCCATTCAAATGAACAAAACTAATGATGTTTATTTAGAGTCAGATTCAGTTTATTTACCGTGGAACCAGATTGAAATACATGTGCAAAAGTATCCCAGTGTGCACCAGACATGTACATAAATAAAACAAGCTAAAAAGTGTAGGAACAATTGTCACTGGGAAACCAATCAACAAAAACAGTTTAATAACAAGTGCAAGATCATTAAAGTGCTTTGTTCAGACTGATGACAGCTTGTAGAAAGAAGCTGTTGGCAGCAATATGTCCTGCATCTCAGCTAACAATATATTCTACCAGAGGGAAGAAGCTGGAACATGGCTTTTCCAGGAGCCAGAAGAGTGTATTTAACATATTTAATAGAAAGGGCTAGAATGGTTTCCCCTCTGTGTTTCTGTGTCTGTGTCTTTGTTGACTGTACATGTTTGAAATTAATTGATAAAAATGAAAAAGTACGCATTAGAAGCTGTATTTTAAATGGTTCATGGATGTCATGTCAAGACGCCATTCCTCCACTCTCCTCGATCAGTGCGCACTGTGCTTTACTTATTTTGTTCTTTTTTGTTATACAACTATATACTCTATACATGTACAGGTGAAACTCAGAATTAGAATACTGTTGAAAAGTCCATAGTTCTGTTATTCAACTGAAACTAAAACATGACTTACAGGCAAAGGGAGGCATATCAAGCTTTTATAGATTACAATGTTGATAAATGTGGCTTACAGCTTGTAAAAAAACCCAAATAAATTATCTTAGTAAAAAAAGATCAACGGATTGTGAGCTTTAATCATCAAAAATCATCTCAAACAAAGGCAGGGTACAAAAGATACAGACAAAAGATGAAATAAAGGAGAATATTGTGTCATTGTTCAGTCGTTGAATATCAAACTGAAATGCATGTGCCTCTTTTATTGTTTGTGTGACTGTGTTGTTAACTGAAAGCTTTGTGTTGTCTTCCTGGCTCATTTCAAATCAAAATGTCAAAATGTCAAAAATCACTTTACATATCAAGCATGCAAATACAATACTTATCATCACTTTCAGGGCGTTGATCTACTTGGTGCAGCCAGTCAATATAACTCATTTCCTCTGTCTGTTCTGATGCAGTGCTGCAGTTGAGGATCCAGAACCGAAGACAAAATGAAATCAATGCAGATCTGGGTGAGTGTGCGGCATTTACACGCAAGGAACAACGTGTCTGCTGCAGCTTTGCCTCCAGGAGAACTGGTATTTTGGATGAATGAATGTCATTTACATTTATGATAATAACCAGAGTACAGTCCATTTAATACAGTTAAGTTTAGTTTAGCTTACTCAAGTGTCATGCACAAAAAAGCATGGACTTCTGTGACACTGAAGCAACAAAGTCTGATGGTGACAGACAAGACACAAACATGAATAAATGATAATTTACAGTAAACATTGCATACAGGAGATAGAATCTGTTGTCTCCTCTTCTAGGCAACAAAAGAAGCAAAGTCATTGTCATGCATTCAATTTATAATTTCACCCACAGGCCCAAACGATTTCGGGAGTAGAAGCATTTACTCAGAATAAAATGGACGATCAAATAATACTACAATAAAAATACCCAGTAAAATATGGGATCACTCAATCACTGATAAACAGGTAATTTGTTAGCTTTTTCTACACACAGTGCTGCTTTGATTTTCAATGAAAGCAGCATCATCTCTGCTCAGATGCACAGATGCATTCTCAATGTTCCACAGTAGAGGCAAGGCAAGGCAAGTTTATTTATATAGCACAATTCATACACAAGGCAATTCAAAGTGCTGAACAAAATAAGAAAGCATTAAAATCATAAATAATCAGAGCAGCATCACATTTAAGTTTAAATTCCAATGTTAGTGGTCACGATTAGCAATTCTCAAAGAAATGTCAGTCCTTGGCAAAAAACAAACAAAATACAGATGAAATTGCTTCAAGTATTTCCACTCGTAAATAACACAAGTAGTATTTTGTAGTAGATTATTGTTCTGCCGTTGAAAAATCTGTTTTGCTGATACAAAAACATATTCTTAAATTACATTTTTTTTGCTGTGTATTCTGAAAAAAAAATAAAAATCTAGTTGTACCATAGTTTGAAGCTCTAAAACCTATATTCTCTAAATCGTGTATTAGCTAATTCGTTTATGTATTGTGTGTGTGTTGTTTTTTTTGTTTTTTTAACGTAACACTCAGTTGTTTGATAAATGCAAACGTACTTTTACACATTTGTCGTAAATCGCATCACAATCACAATGTTGCAAATGATCACAATACCATTATCAAAGTATCGTCCATCCAGAATTACATATGTGTTTTAAATGTTTATATTACACACATTCTTTGGGCAATGGGCTCGCCTCTCCATAGGTGTGACTTGTATAGCAACCACATCGCCATAGAAACTGTTAGCTACATAGTGTAAGTCCAGTTGTAGTTATTTTATATTGCAGACAAGCACAAAAAAAACCTTGAAACAAAAGGAATGAAATGATTTTTGTGTGTGTTTTACAGGAAAATCCACAAGTTTACATCAAAAGACAGAGGACGAAAAGGGTGACGCTCAGGTATGCAACATTCCAACCCAACAGTAAATACGACCTAACCTTTTTCCATAGATGTTATTGCATTAGCAGCTTCAGTGAGTGTTAGTAGTATGAACTGTGTGCCACTGACTGCTGTCCTCTGATGCAGCGTCTTTCTGATGACTGTGTCCCTCAGAAGTTGCCCCCCAGTGGTGTGAACACTGAAACTGCAAAAGGTGAGTACCCGCCTGCGCTTGGTGTGAAAGAGGTCTGTTCACAAACCCTCTTAACGCTGGAGTAGCTAACCTTCTTTTCTTTTATGAGCTCCGCAACATAAATGAGTCAGCTATCGTTGACTTAGAAAAATAGAAAAAGAAGTGAAAAGCCATGTGAGGTGTTATATATGACGCCTTCACGGGTTTGCTAGAGGTTCAGGGAAGTATAGTATGTCAGTGCGGATGAATAAGAAGAATGCGTTTCCTTTAAAATGTAAGATAATACGTTTAGGTTTTGATGAAATAACATTGGCATGATAACTATAAAACATTGAACACAATACTTAGCTCATTGACTGCCAGCCGTTTTGAATTTCAAGACCCACAGAAAATTGTATGCTATGATTTATTATGTGAAATGTAGATTCTGAAAGACTGGACTATCTACTTTCATCAGAAAAAATACATTTGTTTCTAGCTAGTTTTGTTCTATCCAGTCAAATAGAGGGAAAATGGACAGGACTCACCATTCTCAGGCAAATACGTCAAGGGCAGTCAATAATGTTGTTCTAAAAAACAACTTACAAACCTTTTGGATCATTTAAAAGATATCGTAACAGTGTTTACCAAAATCATGGTAAACGTTTAAATTTATAGAAGTGACACATTGTGGGCCGACAGAGGTAGAGGCTCTGTTACATCTGTTTGAGTCACATGGTGTTGCCCTCCCTTGCTGCTTTAGCTGGGAGGAGGAGGAGGAGCGCCTTTAGAGGCTGAAAGTGCGGCTCTGTGGGTCCTAATGTCTCCACTCTGCACATCTCTGCAACACATGATCTATAGCTGTATAACATGTGCATCAAGACTCTCTTTTCTGGCAAGCAGGTTAGGGGCCGAGTGCGCTGTAGCGTTTATTGCCAAAACTAAGTGTTGAATAACCAACTGAGAGCTCACTGGAGAGCTTACCTCGTGAACAGTGAAGGTCAGAACGGGGAGTAAAAGCCCAGAGGTAGAGCAGCCCTTTGGCCCTGGAGCAAACTGTCCTCTCCTGCATGTGCTACCCGGAGTTCATCATCCCACACTGGGCCTGTAAAGCCAGATCAAAGAGTTCTGCGCGCTGTAAGGGAATATGTTGTCAAAATGCAGAGCAAATTCCTTGCGACAATTGTTTTCAAAGATGCGCACGGTGGTGACAGGGCAGATCCACTCGGTCCATGTCCCCGAGCCAGAGCGATTAAGACCTTTCTCTCAGAGCGCCACCTCCCGGAGCTTCAAGCCGCTCAAGGCGCTCTTCCTCCCTGCTAAAGCCTCTGATCCGCGCTCTTTCCTCAGCATGTGTCTCAAACAGGTGTAAAATACCTGCGGGCATTGAAAATAATGTTTAATCCACACTAGCAGTTCTACATTTCCATATGGTCCAACATACATGTGTGTGAATTCTAATAATGTGACAATACGACGTGATGAATAGGAACAAGTTATCTGGATTTAAATATTTATTGACTTCAGTTCTGTTCTAATCCAAGATTCGTGTGTGCATGAGTTAACACACTCCAGACCCATTTGTTGTACACTTTCAATACATCTGTGCCATGCAAGGCTTGTCCTTGACTAATTGCACATCTATTAATTGCCATGACGACTCTTCCATCAACAATAGAATACACAATTACTCATTTTGATGTATAGCAGGGCTGTGGAGTTACTATCATTAGGTAGTGGCACCTGATAAAGGGGAACACAACACCTTCCTGACTTTATATAGGAGGAAATCCTAATAGAGGTCTCTCTTTGTTTGACTTAACAACAATGCTCTACTCAACAACAGAATTGGGTTCTTGAAGGTAAAGAGACCTCAATGTAAAAGTAGACTTAGAAATCAGAGCAAATAAATATACAATTTTGCAGCTGTTTCTGAAAATGTGATACTGAATGAAAAATGAATAGATTAGTGTTCACATTGACTTTCTTATTTTGACGTGAAATGTAGTAGTAAACAGAATGGGTTTGTGCTACAGTGTTACCACGGTCGCCTGATTGACAGTCCATTTGGGGATCAGCCACATCATTTTGGTCCATTATTCCCATGCCACTCTATCATCTCTCATTATCTCTCCTACCTCCCCACTGCACTTTGATCAAACATGACTTTTCCATTTGTATTCGTCGAATGATAATACCACCTTTTCTAACGGACGAATTCCTTTGCCGCCTCTTCGTGCCCTTTAATCCCGTGAATTCTGATACGTGCCGTCCATAATTATGTGCATACGGAGGACGTCATCTCCCAGGGTACAGCAGTGTTTACTATTTTTTGCTGCCTTTGTCTGTCTGAACTTTGACTAATAGCCTATGGGCAAAGCTGTGCCTGCTCACCTCACATATGTTGCGAATCCTGTTGCTTGCGCCCCTCTCTCCACTGATCTCCCATCTGCCTCCCCTCTCGCTGATCCGTGCTCTCTCTCTGCTTATCTGCCACCTGTAGAGAGGAATGTGTGTGTGACCCAGCGGCACAAGAAGGCGCGGCAGGCACAGGAGCTCGCTGATAGAGTCCCACGTCTGCATGGAACCAGCGAGCAGCAGCAGGAGCGACTGGTGCCCCATGAGAACCGTGAGCACACATACGCTGTTAACATAAGTTTGGAGTCATCCAGACAATTGTATGTTTTTCATGACATTTCACTATAAGGGAGTAACAATTCAAAAATACCATGTTTTAATATAGGGTCTATGGAGTTTATTTATCATGAAATGTAGAAAAAAAAAAAGAAACATTTGAATAGGGGTCAAGTCAGAATGAACAAATGGAAAGACACATAATGGTGCTTCCAAATAATCAAATGATCAAATACACAAAAAATTACATTTAATTTGTTTCTCATACAGGTCATTTTGGCATAGATAATGCAATATGCCACGATACATTGTTACAGCCTTAAATCTCTCACTTTGATTCAGATGCTAACAGATACTTTAATTTCAATTATCAATCTGCTTTTTTTCAGGTAGCACATAGTACTATTAAACAATAGAGTAAAATGTGCGGCTCTATGGGGCTGTAACACTTAGAAAACGTTGGAAAGAATAATTCATGTTTTCTATCACCTAATGCCATTCGTTCATAAATAGAATACTTCAAGTTTCCGACTTTTACATTTGTAAAAGTTTGAATGTCAAGGATATGGTGGTCACATGTACATTTAACATCAAATTTCATGAAAATGCAAAAAAATTATGGGATACAATTAAATCATGCATTCCCAGCTAGAAGAGTCATTTACAAAGTGAACCAATTCAAGACTGTACATCTGATTTTCTTTACGTCATTCTCAAAGTGAATTGTTCCAATTATAGTGAACTCAGGGTGCTTCACTGTTATTCCCAAGTGACCCTAAGTGACCCCATGACTTTTGAACGGCGCTGTGCTTTGGTTTGTCCTCGTGACCTTCCGTTCGTCACGCTCGCTCTGCTCAGGTACGTCTTGCTTCGCGCTGCCCTGTGATGTCTTCGAAGACGACATCTCCTCCTGCTCCTCTGCCTCGCCCACAGAGCTCGGCCCCCTCCCTCCGGGCGCTTTCTCCTCGTTACCGCTGCTCTCGGGTGAACAGTTACTAAGTGACTTCTCTGCCGTGGGCGCACAACTGCAGCCCGGCCCAGGTCACGCTCAGGTGAGGAGGCGCACCACGGGTCACACTCAAAACAAACGTGTCCAAAGAGAAGGAGCTGGAGTGGAAGAATTAGAGCTGGAACTGTGATTATAAAACTGGTTATTGTGGAAACCCTTGTGGCACAACATTGATATTTGATACATATCACATCATCTAAAACCAATACCATCCAATGTTTTCTTCCAAATGAAAATTGATCTTGGTAATAAATGGACCAACCTAGCTTTTTCATGTCCGATACCAAATATCTGCCAATAGCATTTCTTCCCCTCAAATCAAAACTTATTACAAAATGTCTAATAGTGTTTTATGTGTGAACATATGATATCGGCTTAACAAAGCAGATACATTTTCCTGGATCTTCACTGATACATAGTTATATATATCAGTGAAGATAAGATTACTTATTTGCATGTCTATATATAGTAGACATGCAAATAAGTAAAAAAAAAAAAAAGTCTCTTTTCAAATCTACAATTGTCACAAACATTTTATTCTAATAACTGTTCTAACGAACCACGTAAAAACAACCATGTTAGAACCAACTGCCTTTAAAGTTAGAATGATGAGGAATTGGACAATTGATATTGGGATTCACAATAATAATAAAAATGATAATAACAATAATCCTGAGTATTATATATGAAAATCCTGATCCAGTCGGACCTCAGAAGCTAAGCTGGATAGGGCCTGGTTAGTACTGTGATGAAAAAACACACGCAATGACACCTATGTTTTAAGTATTAATCAGGAAACCTGGAACACCAAGAGGTGGCTGTAAAAATTAAGATTAAGATTAAGAGATCCTTTTTTTGTCCCACAGTGGGGAAAATTCAGAAAAGTGACAAACTGTTGTTGTTTCCCTGTTGTGTGACGCTCAGGGCAGCTGAGTAGTTGTCTCACCACCGTGAACAGACTGACTGTATAATGAATAATGTATAATAATGTGAATTTTGAGTGGCAAAAAACTCATTAAAACCATGAATAGAACAAATCCATATGAGCAAAACCCGTCCTCTCACTTTAGGACCTATAGAAGTTGTATGCTACTGATTGTGGGAGTATCTATTCCTGGAATCAAGCGTTGTATATGAGTCTGTATTTAAACTGCTTTGAATGCAACATACTCAACTCAATAGCACTTTCGCCCCGCATCCAACTGCATAACATTAACCTGATTCTCTAAACGTCACTGTGTTGTCTCCTCTACAGTCTGGCTTGGCGTTGCTCCCGGCAACCGAGGGCATCCGACATCCACCGAGCGTTACTGTGTGTGAGCCAGGCTCCATGGCAACAAATGTCCGACCAAACGGGCTTTACCTCCCGTCTGTGACCATGCCCCTGCTGCCTAAGGTGAGCCCCAGCCAGCGCTACTGTCACACACTCTTCTGCTTCTTTAATCTTTTATAAAGCTTTCTGAATGTGACCGTGGCACTGGTTTTCATGGATCTTCTTCATCGTCCTCATCTGTGAGTGTTTTGTGGAAGATTAGTCCTAACAGCAGGGACACAGGTTTATTTTAACCCTTTCACCTGCTGGGTTGAGTATTCACCAGTGTTGTGGGATTGCAAAGCTCCGCGTAAGCCGCTCTGCATTCATTACTGTCAATTTGCAGTAGTGGAGTTGCCCCATAGGTTAACAGATTCACACAGCCACACGCCTCTATAGCAGGGCTGAGGCGCTCTGCTGTTGTCTCTACATCTGAGAAGCTTTGGTCGGTTTCATGTCACGTTCAGCTGTGATACAGGCCAACTACTGTCAAACGGCATGACATTTTACTTCTGTGATACGCAGGAGCCTGAAATCTTGCTTTTACAGGCAGCGCGGCCCTCCAGTCCCACCTGCACCTCAGCTCTGCCCTCCCTCGAGATGCCCCGTCCACGGAAGCAGCGAGACAACAAACCCAAAATGAAGAAACTGAAATATCATCAATACATTCCTCCAGACCAAAGAGGAGGTTCTGGAACAACAGGTGACCTACAAAATCAATATAGACCAATGTCCAAGTGGAGTTTCACACTTTCAAACTTTCAAACTTTTCAAAAGAAAATCAGATTATTTTTCATCATGAATCTTCTTCATGTGCCTGGAATTCTTTGCATTCCAGTTTGTATTACCTGTGTGTATTATGCAAAGTTGACTAACCCTAACCCTTTTAAATATTTAACGCAAAATATGAATTGTACTGTTAAATTAAAGAGTCTGTACTCAATTTTGTTATACACATGTTTAAAATTAATTTGAAAATTAGTAGTTGATGTAATGCATAGTTACATTTTTTAATAGGATTACTAAGAGTTTGAATGACAGAATAGAGTTCTGTAAGGCTCGACAATAAACAAAAAATAACATTAAAAAAAGATAAATAAATATCATCTGAACATGCGTTTGTACCTCCACGTTTCTCTGAAACGGTTTTGTGCTGCTGTATTGGACAGCACTGAGCAGGACTCATGTTTTTGGTATATTTCCAGGGACAGGAGCCAAACAGAAGAGCCCTCCCCCGACGCCGGCTTTAGACCCGGCCTATTCGCACTTAGTCAAACAGCAGCAGGTTTTCCTCCAGCTGCAAATTCTCCAAAACCAACAACAACAGCAGCAGCAGCAGCAGCAGCAGCAGCAGCAGCAGATAACTGTGGTGCCCAGGTTTGTACACAACTCACACTCAAACAATTAAAACAGAATCTACTTGAAACAAATACTTGGTTAAAAAACAAATCTATCCATTTGCCTGACCAGCCAGACTCTTCTGCATTCTGACACCTGTAATCAGATGTAGGAGGACGATTTGATACCAGCCGCATTTGTTCCCAGTACTACAAATAGAAACAAATTACAGATGCCAGAACTGAATGCAGAACATACCCTGTGTCCAAAATGATAAACATTTCTCCTTCCTTGTCCTTAATCTTTATTTGAATTGACCTTTGTGGCATAAAATTGACCAAAGTGGCAGTAGAAACATCTTTAAATGATGTTAAATGTCACTTGACTAAACCTGGTCTCATCAAAGGTCACTTTTGAAGCACAAGGAAGGACAAGGAGGTACTTTTGTTCAATTCGGATGCAGCCGCGCTCACAAAAAGTGGTATTGAATAGAATAGAATGGAAAGATCTCATTGTGCTCTCAACATTTTCTGACTTCAATCATTATGTTTTGTCCGATGATTCCATTAGCGGAGATGCCGGTGATCACATGAAGTCATCTGGAGCCTTGCCCTTGAACCCACAGCCAGTCCCTGCCACAACAAACCACACCCCGGCAGATCCTAATCCAGTGGCAAAGCCTGAACTCCTGCCGGCAAACCTGGTGGACCTCACTGTAAGACCAGAGCCTCTGGAAATATGCAGTGACAGATGGTTCCCTTCATCCTGCTCGTTAACCTCTGCTCTTCTTTAGGTGTCCGAGCTCCGGCAGCAGCTGCGGAAGCGCGGCCTCCCGGTGTCTGGCACCAAACCGGCTCTTCTGCAGCGGCTGCGGCCGTTCCAGCTGCCCCAGCCGTGTGTGGTCCCCGCCCCCCTCTGCCAGCTGGACCCACTGCCCACGTCGCTCACTCCAAACCAGAGCCCCATCTCCAGCTCCAGCTCTGGATCAGACTCTCCCAGCCACTGCCCAAGCAAACATATTTACATCCAGAACCGGAAAATTCCTGATGGGATTGTGCGTGATGCTCCAAGCGGCATCCTGAGCGATATCCCTAATGCTTTTACAAATGCCACTTCAGTCAGTCTGGCAGGTGAGCAGTGTGCCATGTTCTTGGCTCCTGCAAGCACTGCCTCAGGGACCCCCAGTCCCAGCCTGCCTATGTCATCATCATCACCCCTACAGTGCGGGGCCCCCTGGAGGACTGAGAGTGAACAGCAACAGCAGCAGCGTGAGGAGCTCAGCGTGGAGCTGGAGATGAGAGAACGCATCAAGAGCCGGCCCAGAGACCATTTTAATAACTCAAGCGAGGTGAATACATTACTTCTGTGTAATGATGTGCAAATACATGTGGTTGTACTAAAAACACAAAGTTTAAGACCAAAAAGCAGAACAAATGTATTCTACATTTTCAAAATCATGAACAAACACTGACTTATTTCAATCACACACAGTTCTCACGAGGCGCTCTACATCCTTTCCTGCAACAGGACTCGACAGGATGTTCAATAGACAAGTCCAATAGTGAGGAAGAATTGTTTACACAGGTGAGATTCACACTAAATCAACGTATTCAAAGAAGTAACACTTTAAAAGCCTTCACTATGTCTTGTTTCTGAGCAGCTGTATTGTTGCCAGCCGTGTAACGTGATTGGTCAGGATTTCGAGCTGCCAGTGCAGATCACAGCAAGTCCACTTCAGTTGTCACCTGCAGTTCGAAGTTTAGAGGAAGAGCTCCAGGAGGCCATTCAGAAAGCACAGGTCAGACCCAGCATCAGGAGCAGCATGATGCCTCCCTTTGACCAGTGAGTGAGTGGTTTTGTGTTCCCATTATGCAGATGGACCCTTTGCAGTCGATAGATGACATTCTGGGTGAGCCAATCATCTACATGGGTGTGTATGAGAAATAAAAGTGGGAATACACATTTTATCTGTCATGGTGTTGATGTATTTCTCTATATTCTGTTGTGTAGAGTCAGCTGCGGCAGTGTGTGATAGTAAACCCTCCTCTGAAGCTGCCCTCAGCCCCTCTCCTCTTCCTCAGAGCGGCCAACACAGAGATGATAGCTTCCTCCCGTCTCCTCTGTGTTCGTCACTACTGTTAGAGATGCCACCGTCTCCAGCTGTTGCACCTCCCAGTCAGGTGCTTCCTGCTCCTGCCCCTCCCCCTCTCTGCACCTCACCCCGGCCCTCCAACCGAAAGTCACGGAAACGGCGTGCCCTTGTGCCTTTTGATGCAGCCGAATGGCTCGAGACACTTACGTGCGGCCTGCGTCCACTGACTCCCCCCACTGCTCCGTTTGTGGAACCCGACTTCAGCCTGGACTCTGACCTGAATGTCAATAGAGTGCTGGATCTCTTGATCGAGCAGTGGTGAATGTAGATCAAGGAACAGTGATATCAAAATGCAAACATCTCAACAAGGAAAAACTGAATATTGATCCCGGTCTAACTATGCTCAGAGCTCATTACTGCCTCCACGCAATGTCGAGAGCCAGTTACATGAGCGCTTTGCTCTATGATGGACTGAAGTCCTTTGAAAGCACTTGGACTCCAGCACAAATGACATGCAGCACTTCTCTGAATGATGCAATAGAAACCAGTGTTTACAGTAAAAACCTGAGCCCTAAGAATCAGGCAGCTCTGGAGATGTCCTTTCTGATTCATCTGCAGAACTGTCCCACTGAAGAGAGTGCAGCTGCTGTGTTGACCACATTCATTACAAAAACATTTAAAAAGTGTCTAATCCACACAGCCCTGACCCCAGAGCCAGGCGCACAGTCGGCCCACAGGGGGGGGCTGGCACAAGCTGCACATTCGCTGCTCTGTTTGAGTCAACACACAGTGTATTCATCTCCATTACTGCCAAACTCTCTTGTCCTGTTGGTTTGCCTCTCACTGTGTCAGTCACTGAGCACAGTGACACGCATCAGCTCTGCAGTGGCCAGATTCCTGAGATTCTATTTTAGCCCAAAGCCAGCAAGCAGCATTGCACATTTTTACCCTGTAATCAGAAGCTCTATTTTATCACCTTCGAGTCAGTGTACTCAAGCAAAGCAATCACCCTTTCTCAAAATACTTCCAGTTGTACTAATGCACCAATCAGACCATTGTGAGTTACTAAATGCAAGTTTTTCCCTCGGATTTCAACCAACAAGACCAGGCTTTCTATTCTACCAATAAAAAATATATCATCGAGATATTTAATCCTGAAAAGTACAAAACTATATCTTTGAAAAGACAACTGCCGTATTCCAACTATACTTGTTCTCTCAAATGGATAAATGCTATTTAGTTTCTATCTAAAAACAATATTCCCTGATTGACCCCATTACTACAGAAACAGCTCTTTGAATGGACCAAGTACACTCTGTTTGCCTCAAGTTCAGAAATGACTAAAATGTAAAGTGAGTCCTTAATAGAATATAATTTTCTTTTCTTTGATTCATTAATATAAGTGTTAATGAGTAGACCAGGAGGGGCCAAGAGGAGTAAAGAAATTAGTATGTACTTCCACACATGGAATTAAATTAAGTTGTTACTCTGCGCTTTTTTATCAGTGCAATGGTATTCAAATTATTTTAAATTATATGATCGACTATTTATTTTCCTCTTATATGTATTTAAGTGATTGGATTGCGGTTGAAGCTGCCTCCAGGCTCATTTTGAACGTTGGAGTGTTGTAAGTCCTATGTGTTTAGCAGTATGTCATTGTGAACTCTTTGTTGCAGTATTGTGTCTGCTTAAAGTCGTATTGTGTAACTGTTTTAGTGGAGAATCTCTCTCTTGCTTGTCTCTATGGCATTAATCCTGCACAAATAATAGGGTTTCATGATTTCAGCACCATTTTCACTGAGATTCCCATATATACTTAAAACGTTGGGTTAGGGTTATATGTATGTGTCAAAAAACTTAAAATTAGTTAAATTTGAAAACAATGCTTAAATGGATTAGCTCATCCACACATTTTAGAAAACTGATTGTATACGTCTATCTATATTTGTATAAGATCTGAATGGATAAACTGCGAACATACTCTTAATAAATGCTTGAAATAATAAGTTAAGAAGAATTGAACAAGCACAATATGTATTGTTCAATCACAAAATAAAATAAAACATTCATTTCTCTCAGATGTGAAAACTACATTGACTTACATAGAATAAGGCTAAAAATATTGATTCAATTGAAAATTATTGTCAAAATTGACTGAAACCAACAATAATGTTCCCTAAATCAAAAGGACATAAACTATTGCAGTCTGCGATTTGCGAATTGCAACCAACTATTTTGATTAATCTCAAAGCCTTAACAGCAAAGAACAAGACCAATAAACCAAGTTGAATGGACAAAATAAATATAATCTCCATGGAGACAAGCAGAAAGTTACACAGTGCCTCTTTAGCTGGCTGTCCAAAATGGGACCTGAAGAAGAAGGCATGATTTGCACTGCAGCTTTCCCAGCTTTGACCACAATAAGAGAAAAGTACGCCAGAATGCCGGCGGGTTGCTGTGATAATCATAGTGATCAATAAGCATTTTGGTTCATCATAAAGAGAGTTAGGCGGGAGAGTAATATGCTACCTCCTGTGTCTGCCGATGCTTTTGTGTTTTCCATTGTTTCTCTTGTTCTTTTCCACTGCTGCAGAAGTCCAGTTGTAGCCGGAATGACCCATGCAGTTTGCTTTTGTCGGACTAGTAAAAACAATGGTTCAGACAATATATGATCTGATGTCATCATAATTTCACATTTCCAAAACTCCTAAATTACTTGAATGTATACTATGATTTTGCTCTTGATGTGTTTTCAGCCATAGATAGTGTACAGTGAAATATTCTTGATCAGGCATGTCCAAAGTCTGGCCCGCGAGCCAATCAGTCATTGAGATAAACACATGTCACGCCAACTCACTCCCCATATAGCAATGCACTGGTTGACATCCACTTATTGTGATCAGGATGAACCTTCACGAGGGTAGTAGAAGAAGCATTCGTCATTCAGCCAACTTCAGCTCCATAAAATGTGATTCAATATGGACTTGATGTCATACCTCATCTTAAGGCTCAGAACAACCCGAATCCAGTCAAAATAATTTTCTCCCGGGGAACTAAAGTGGTCCTCTAACTAAAAGTTTGAGATCATTTCACAAACAAATGTCAAAAGTACCTTCTGTAGTACCTAACCTATTCTTTTCAGCCATAAAGCAGAACAAATGGACGGATAAAAGGAATGACTAATACTCCTTTGAATTGTATATTAAAAAATGATGACATCAAATCATACTGCTGTGACAAAACCTAACATTTTCTAGACTTCATTCAGCCATGCATGGGTCACACACGACTGGGACTCTGAGGGCCATTTTTGCTGCTATACGTGCCTATTCGTGTCTATTTATAATGTAACTTATTTGTGCCAAAGGTAAAAGCCCTGTAAAATATGTAAAGCATACATAAAAATTAAAGTCTTAATAGATTTTCAGTGAGTCGTCTTTCTTGTAGTGCCGAGTAATGAGATCACTGACATGTTTAAAGCATGTCGGTTTAAAAATCATCTGCCAATTACATTTACATTCACCAGAAACTGTTCCAAATTATTCCCTATTAAATATTGATGATTCCAGATTAAATTAAATATTCATTCACACCAATACGCCGCTTAAATATCAATGAGACATCTCTATCTGTCCGACTGGCTCCGAAATTGAGCTCTCATAGTAGAAAACTAATTCAGTGCTATGAATGGGATTTGGTGCAAAAGTCCTTCCCACTCTACGGTCCTCTTCAGTTAAGTTTATAAAGCAAAATGAAAACATGAATAGAGCAATAAATGAATAGTTTTCCTACGTAGGCCTGTTTGTCACTGATCAGACCTGCCATGGAGTCTCAGCAGCAAACGTTGCCGATATAGATAAATCACAAAGAGAGTTTCACTTTGCCCTTACTCACACCCAGAGAATAGCTACGCAGACATGGGGAGAACATGCAAACTCCACTCAGAAAGGTGGTGTGCTTTCTGAGTGGAGGTGGTTTACCCACAATACATTTGTGGGTAAATAATATGAATGAAAGAACATAATGTAGAAATAAAATTGGTCTACATATTATTCGTGTGTGTTTAATCTCGAGCTGTTGTATTAGTTCTAGTTTAATCCCATTTCGATGTGGTAATTTCACCCGTAGCCGTTAAGCCCATAACTCTTGTGATCTGATTAAATGATTGATTGATCAGACAGAGACAGATGTCGTGGCCATTCATCTTCATTGTAATCAAAGACACTCCTATTGCCCTTCTTCCTCAGCCTTATTTACGGCTCTGGAGATGAGAGGAGCCCGTGGTCGCTCTGACATTGACATCGTTTTGTGGATTTAACCTTTTGAAGCTTGCCACAAAAACTACTCGACAAGCTTAGATAGGTACAATACAGACGATATAAAAAACTAATATAACACAGGATATACTGTAGCTGACATCACTCACCCAGATAAACAGCAGCACACGGAGGAGAGTCGGCCAAATCCTTACCCTAACCTCAGAGCACACATCAAACTGTATTATGCTAGTGCTAAACAGCCATGCTAGGACCAGAAACATACATTTATTACATAAAAAAAAAAAAAAAAATTACATTTAGGCCCTGTTTAGACAGAGCCACTGCGACAGTAAAACAGTAGAGTTGGGAATCGGTTTGGTCTTTCGTTTACATAAATAAGGTGTTTCGGTGAAAATGCAAGCGTCGAGAAACTGAGAAAGAGTGGAACTGAACAGATACTCAGCTTTTACAGCTGTGTGAAGAAAAAGATGTGAATTCTCTGCCTGCTATGACCTCACCAATTTCAGTTTCAGTTTCCATGTTCGCAGCTGCTGTTAAATGCAGAAGTATGTTGTTGAGGGAGTGAATATACTACCGAGGGGGCTGGGGGTCGCATGTGTTGTGCTGTTAAGTTCCACTGCCCACTAATGGCCGGGTGCTAGAACTACATTGTTTTCCGTAGTCGTCTAAACCCTGTGCAGGAGTCTGGTCGTTTGCAGCGCCTCTGCAGCGTCTCCGTCTAAACGTGGCCTTATATTTCATGTGAAAGACACACGGACACACAATGATTATGTGTCTGCAGTTCATCCAAGGTAATCTTTATATAGCGCCTTTCACAGACTAGAGTCACAAAGCGCTTTACAAATGTTGTGGGTATTAATCCTCTCACTCCACACTGTGATGGGAGTGGGGTCATCATACAGGAGGCGCATGCCAGACCTATTGTACATGTTTTTAGTGGACACGCAGACAAAGGGAGAACGTGCAAACTCCACACAGAAAGGCCTTAAGGTGGAATAGAACCCAGGACCTTCTTGCTGTGAAGAGCTTTCCCCTGCGCCAC